AGCGAGTGGTCATAAGGATGGGACTTTACTCCTTTAAATTCCTATACAGTTTACAAACTTTTAAAAATAATTTGTTTTTATCACCTGATCTGCTTATTGTCTGTCATCTACAAGCTGTTCACTCGAGACATCCTGAATAGGATTGGCAGAACACTAGATGAAGGACAACCATGCGAGCAAGCTGGGTTCTGCAAAGGATTCAGCACAACTGACCGTATCCACATGATAACCAAGCTCATTGAGGTTTCTCAGGAATTCAATATGCCGCTCTGTCTAATGTTCATTGATTTAACGTTCATTGATTTAAAGAAGGCCTTTGATTCTGTTGAGACGAAAGCAGGGCGTTCAAACTCAATACATCAGGATCCTCTGTGAGCTGTATTATGAATTCACTACCAGAATCTCACCATTCTACAGGGAAGTGATCACTGACATCAAGAGAGGGGTTTGGCAGGGTGATACCATTTCATGGAAACTCTTCAGTGCCACCCTAGAGAACGTCATGTGATAACTAGAATGGGAAGGAATGGGAGTGAAGTTAGATGGTCGGCAACTACACCACCTCCGCTTTGCTGATGACATTGTTCTAATAGCACCAAACATTAGCCAAGTGGCACAAATGCTGGCTGACTCCGACTGTGAGTGTGGAAAGGTCAGACTACAGCAAAATCTCATGAAGACAATGTTTATGAGAAACAGTTTTGTTCCTGACATTCCATTTGCTCTCAATGGAACGAACATCTCCAAATGCAACAGTTATTTAGGTCGAGAAGTCAACATGACGAATGACCTGGCACCTGAGTTGCACAGGAGGAAGAGAGTGGCTTGGAACGCCTTCAAGAGCATCAAAGAAATAGCTAAGAGGATGAAGAACCTTTAGCTCCGGGCACATCTCTTTGATTCCACTGTTCTTCCTGCATTAATATATGCCTCAGAAACCTGGGCACTACGAAAACAGGATGAGAACACTATTTGGGTCTCCCAAAGAGGAATCATAAGAGCTATACTTGGAGTCACCTGCTTCACTCAAATGAGAGAAAGAATCCAGAGTTCTGACCTCCGTCGGAAAGCAGGGCGTTCAAACTCAATACATCAGGATCCTCTGTGAATCAGGGACGCTGTCTCATTTGCCAAGGCATAGAACGCCAGATGGGCTGGACACATAATGAGATTTAGAGACGACTGCTGGACTAGAGCGGTTACCGACTAGATTCCACAGTATGTCAAAAGACCGCGTGGCCACCCACCTACTAGATGATCAGACTTCTTCATTAAGACCCTGAACAATCGGTTTGAGGCTCTTTGTATTCCTAGAACGAGCAGATGCCATTGGGCTACACTAGCACGTGGCAGGGACAAATGGAGACGTTACTGGTGGCCACTTGAGCAAATTGATGAGTAACGGGATGTCAAGTGATGAAGTGAATTTATTTTTAAATAGTTTGACTTTTTAGGGCGTTTGCCTTGTGCACAGCCAGCCCAGTCGAGCCAGGTTCAATTCCTCTGCCCCTCTTGGAGCTACCGAGAGTATCTCGCCCGCATGGCAAAGCGGGGCAAGCTGCTCGTGACATATTCGATATGCCAAACACAGTAACAGAAGTCTCACAATGGAGATGTTACTGGACCCACCCGAGCAAATCAATGAACAACAGGAGGACAGTGTTTGTTTGTTTGTTTGGTCTGCTATCCCTAGGGAATACTTTGGATTGCTCTGGCAATGCTAGGGTATATATGGTACCCAGGACTGAACCTAGATTGGCTACGTGAAAGGTCAACCTTATTTGCTGTTTTTTCTCTCTGGCTCAACAAACTATTTTCATTCTAGTCTCCATGAGCAATCCTCTATGAACAACCCAGAGACTTTATACTGCGTTTTGTGAATGAAGAAACTCCGTGTGGCGTTGTCAAATTCATTCACCTGGTTGTACCTCCAGCTCGGGAGGATGACTGACTAAAATGTACCTAAGTTGGCCCAAAATAGCTTACTTTTTATGGTACCTATATTATAGATGGAGGAACTCAGTAAGTCTTAGATGATTTCAATTTAGACTCTGGAGCTAAGAGTTGTCCATAAACAAAAAGATTTTTGTTAACTAGCATGCATTCCAATTTTGGTTCAAATCAAGACCTTCCCTAGAACGACTTGAAAACTGAAGCTCACTCATTAGTGTTTGCTAAACTCTCATTTTAAAATTCACTATAATGGCATATGCAACAGGCACAAAATATTCATGTGGCAGCTTTTGAATTCATAAAGCCATGATTAAAATAAATAGTAAAAATTTTAAATCTTTACATAATCTGTTGGTCTGGAGCGATAGCACAGCAGGTCGGGTGTTTGCCTTGCATGCGGTCTACCTGGGTTTGATTCCTCTGCCCCTCTCAGAGAGCCCAGCAAGATACCGAGAATATTCTGCCCACACGACAAAGCCTGGCAAGCTACCAGTGATGTATTCAGTATGCCAAAAACAGTTACAACAAGTCTCACAATGGAGATGTTACTGGTGCCTGCTCTATCAAATCAATGAACAATGGAAGGATAGTGCTACAGTGCTATAATGCCACATGTGCCTGTCAGCTTGGTAAATATAAAAATGCTCACGTGTCCCTAAAACATGGTCTTCTGTGAGGGACTAGAAACAGATAACTTTTTAAACTAAGGCAAAGATCGGTCCTTAGTATATTAAATATATTAGTATATAAAATATATAATGTGTTATATATTATAGTAAAAGGTATAGGGGTCAGGTTTGAGAGAGTGGAACTGCATTTTCCTGCCATTGAATGGACATTGGCATTGTCACTGAATTTAGAGAAGACCCTGAGTTATTTGAATAATCCTGTGTGGTCATGATCTTTCTTTTTTTTAAAAAAACTCAACTGATCACAGCTGCACCATGACATTAAACATCATCAAAAACCAAATGAATCTGAATTTCAAAAAAGCATAGACATGAAGGGACTTTTCCAGAGTAGAAAACCACCAAATATAAATAAAAACCAAATGCAATCTTTGCTTGGATCTAGTTTTTATTTATTTATTAGTGAAACACCATGAGGTACAGTTATAGACTTACAAATTTTTGTGCTTGGGTTTCAGTTATACAATGATCAAGTCCCCATCCCTCCACCAGGGCCCATCCTCCACTACCATGGGTCCCATCATCCCTCCCACCCCCATCCCCCTATCCCACCCTGCCTCTGTGGCAAGACATTCTCTTTTATTCTCTCTCTCTTCTTTTGGGTCCTGTGTTTTGCAAGAGAGGCATTGAGTGGCAATCATGTTTGGTCTATAGTCTACTTTCAGCATGCTTCTCCCACCCTGGGAGGATCCTCCCAACACCCTTTACTTGGTGCTCTCTTCTCCATCTGAGCTTCCTTTTCCCCCAGCACGTGTGGCTGGCCTCCAAGTCGTGGAGCAAAATTCCTGGTTTTTAACAAAGTTTTGGAAGTTATTGAAAAATTCAAAATACAAAGCTGAGAGGAAAGTGAAAATAATATCCAGTCTTGCCTCTTAAAAATTATCTGGGATTATGTTTTGGTGGTAACCCAGAGAGAGGAATCACCTTAAACCCTGTTTCATAAGAAGCAGGATTATAGTTCTGTACATTTATTGGTACAATGTTTGGCACAATGCCTAGTAGAAGCTTAAATAATGTTTTTTTTTTAAAACTTAAAAGACCATGATGTCTATAGGTAATAACACAGTATGGTATATTTGAAAATAGCTAAGAAAGGTTTTAAAAATTCTCACAAGAAAAAACAATTTATAACTATGTACAGTCATGGATGTTAACAAGATTTAATGTGGCAAGAATTTCACATTAAATCATTATGCGGCACACCTATGTCAATAACACTATTTGTCAATTACATCTCAACTTCCCCCCTCCCCCTTTAAATAGAGAAAGGTACAAAGGAAGAGGATGCAGTTCCTGGTTATGAAACACGTTCATCAACCTGATGCTTTAATTGCAACCTCATCGGAGTTCATCGTGTGTCTTCATTAATCCCCAATCAGAGGTCTGAGTCATCAAAATAAATCTGCTTCAGGATTTACGCACACAGAGTTTGCTGTTGAGCAGTATGATATATGACACCGTCTGCCCTTTGGCTGCTGAGGTGTCTCCAGTTTTTTCCAAGCCAAAAGCAGAGCCCAGGATTAGAGCAACATATATTTAAGGGCGTGTTTTCCCAGATGCTAGTTGGGACATGAAGACAAACGCTGGCGTCATTTAGTGCTGAGAGCAGAGTGGAAACTTCATTTCTGGTAAGGAGGAGTTCAAGTTAACTCGAATGCATACACCTCTCAGCAGTCCCCCTGAGTGGGTCACCCAGGGGGTGTGTGGGGACACCTTCCTAAAACATGGAAAGCATTCTGCTTTTGAGAACAGAACTCCGAGCGGTGTCTGGGGTTGGTGATGGTGGTGCTAGTGGGAAGATCTTGGAAGCAGGTTTATTTATTTATTTATTTATTTATTTATATTTATTTATTTATTTATTCTTCCCAAATCTCCTGGACTTGAAAGAGGAATGACGAAACCCATGCTCAACCCTCCGAGGCAGATGCACGAATGCATCCCGATATTCCTGAATTCAAAATAGGCTCGAAGCAGATCTGTCCTCCTCCTCCTTGTCATTGCCCAACCCGCGCTCAGCAGGATTCCCCAAGCTGCTTCATCACTGCCTGCGATTTGCTGTGCCCGAGACTCTTCCTGGATCACCCGGGAATCCGTGTCCAACTCTTCTCTAGCTGCGCAGTTCCGCGCCAGCCGCGCCGAGACCCCGCAAGCAGCCGGCCGGCCCCGCTCCCGCGGCGTCACAGGCAGGTGCGGGTGGGGGTGGGGGGAACCCGAGACATCAGCGCGCCCCAAAACTTGCTCGCGGGCCATGACGGGGGTGCTCGGGCTTCCCCAGCCCTCCCACGCCGGGCTTTCCTTAAAGAGCTGCGACGACGGGAGCAGGTTCTGAGCTGCAAAGACCCGGGCGAGCGAGCGGCATCGCCTCCCTCCGGGTCCCCACCGAATGCGCCCGGGACGCGGCGGCCGCCAGCCCCGCTCAGCCTGCGGGGCACGGCGTGTGCGGGGGCACTCGGGCACCACGATGCTTTGTTTTCCTGCCGCAGGAAGCCCAGGCGGGCTCTTGCCAGCCGACTTCACCCGCCCGCAGCCCCAGCCATAGCCATGGAAGTTGCCGCGGCGCGGGGCAGGAGGGAACCGCTCGGCGCGGCGTCTCGTTTGGATGGTTTTGCTCTGCAAGGACCACTTCTTTCTCCCTTCGAGGGGTAAGTGGACTCGACTCGGTGGTAAGAGCCGGGGAGCCCAAACAGATACGAGGGGGATGCGGCAGTACAAAGAGCTCACCGGGAGAAGTTGTTTTCCTTGGAGCGGGCATCCTTTCTTTCTCCCCTGCCCCTCGCCCTCTCCCCTCCTGCTCCCCCTCCCCCAAATTAAGGTACCCTCACTCATAGCTGGCAGTCCATTCCAAAAGCACAGCTAAGCGTTGGGGCATGTTCTCAGGCATGTTAGGGGCGGGGCAATGGGAAATTAATTTTTAGTGGACCCCCTTGACTCCCACCCCCTAAAAAACAAAAACAAAAACATGTGCCTTAGCGCACATTCTAAGAATGAAGACCCAAAAGCCTAGGCGAAAACCCTAGAGATTGGTTAGGTGCCAGGTGAAATAGGAAGAGAGCTGACCAGTGCCAAGTTAGAACTCTCATCGGGAACTTTGGACCCCACATCCTGCTCCCTCATCCCAATAGGTCCACTTTCCACCCCTTCTAATAAACATCCTCCCCTCTCCTCTTTCACAAGAATTTTCTCAGGGAAAGGTTGCTCAGGGGCTAGAATAACTTCAGGAGGGAAACACAAGGAATGCTCACCAATGTTAGCTGATTGATTGACAGACAAGGGATGCGGGATGCACCAATGCAGTCTGCTAAGGAGGGTCTAGAGTCTTAGATCTTCAAGAAGCCCCCCCAGCCCCTCCCCCCATCTTTTCAGGATCAGATTCAGGGATCTAGGGACTAGGTGAGCCCCCTTGGGTATGACTCTTCTTTCTGGTATGACTTTGGCCCCTTGATCTTCTCACCTGTAAAATAAGACCATTTAGAGCTTCCTCTAGGCTGAGGAGATGCTTGGAGAGGAGAGGGGCTGGGTAAACATCATTCTTGCCTCTCCATCCTCTGAGGCCACTTCTGATGCAGGCAGCACCATTAGGATGTAGACCTGGGTTGGAGCTCCCCAGCTAGGGAGAGAAGGGCTAGAGAGGCTCAGAGGACTTCTTACGAGCTTCAGATGCAGCACCCTTGGAGTTTGGGAGGAGAATTTTCACACCTTCTGGTGTCTCTAGGGTGCAGCTAGAGAAGCAGAAATCTCTGTCTCATTTCCGTATCTCACCCACCCTTTAGGAGGGAAGCAGAGTGAAAATAAGAGTCCCTGAAAAGGGGGGCTCCAAAGGGCCCTAGAAAGCCACGCTGCCCGCCCCCTGCCCCCCCAGGAGTCACACTGGGACCACTTTTTGCCTTGAATGAGTCTTCAGGAAACTCTGGGCTCCAGCCCTGGCAGCCTGAGATGGGGACAAAGCACTGACCAACCCGTTCCCAGGCAGCAACAGACCTCCGGGATCTGCCCTGAGCCCAGAAGGCTGCATGCGACAGCAAGGAACAGAGGGTGGGAAAGACGTACTGACCCATGGCTCCCTAGAAACCTCAGGGTAACCTAGGGTGGCACACACTCCGGAGCGCCCGCTACTAGCCTCGTGGTGGCGAGGGGCAGGGGGAGGGCACAGCTCTCTCTTCGGACAATCCAGTCAGACTTCATGGCGCCAGGCAATAAGCCCCACGAAGGCGAAGCCCGTCTTGTTCTTTGTTACCTCGCAAGCACCCGGCCCCGTCAAGGCACCCAGAAAGGGTTTAAGTTCTATGTCCACTGGACGGTGATTTTCAGTAACTCAGACTCTTCCCTTCCCATCCCGTTGCCTGTCCGCACTTAAGCAAGCGTTTCTTTAGCATGTACTACGTGCCAAGAGGCCCTGTTGCTAGGGACCCGAAGTCATTTGTAAGCATCCTTCATATCGGTACTTGGACGGCCCCGTTTAAGACCGTCTCGGTACCACCTGTCTCCTCTAGAGACCGAGGACTCACGGTCGGCCCCCGTGTGGCTTCAGGCCGGGGCAGTGAGACCGGGGGCGGGGGTGGGGAGTTGGGTTGGAAGATGCACCGGGTTTCGCCTCTTTTGCTCGATCCGACCCGCGTAGCTTCGCACCTGCTTGTGCGGGGGGGGGGGCGGGGGGGTCCCACCGAGGCTCCCCCGTCCCAAACTGTCGCTACCCGGAGCTGTTAGCACTTGGCAACTCCGTTTCCCTCCCGGGCCGCGGTGCCTGGGTCTCGCCCCACCCTCCCCGGCCGCCGAGCCGCGGCCCCAGTCGGGCTGCAGGTAGCTGGGGAAGGGACTGGGCTGCGCCTGGGGATGCTCCAGCATCCCCGGGCGGGGAGAGCGCGGCCGACGCCGAGCGGGCCCCAGAACAAAAGGCTCATGGCTGGCACCGACCTCCTCGGAGCGCGCCGGAGCCCGGGGTTCGGGGCGCGGGAGGGAGAACGGGGCGCCGGAGGGGACGGCAGCGGGAAAATGAAGTGAGGCCAGAAGAAGCCGGGGCTTGGGGGGCCCTGATGGGAGCAGTGACCCGGGCCACCCCCGGAGGCAGAGCGGTCTGCAGCGAGGCCGCCGCGGCCCTTTCCCCGCCTCCTGCAGCCTTCCGGGCAGCCAAGCGTGTCTCCGGCAGCAACTCCGGCGGGCGCGCCGCGGTCGGCCGAGCCAGTAAGTCGCGACGTCCCGACCGCTCAGCTCCCCGCCGGGGCCCCGCCGCCGCCGCTCCAGCCAGCCCCGCAGCGCCCCGCAGCGCCCCGCAGCGCCCCCGATCGCGCGTCCCCCCAGCCCACCCGCGCCGTGCGCCTCCGCCCCGGCGCGCCCCCGAGTCCAGGCGCGGCGTGTGCGGCGCGCGCTCCCCGGGTGCCGCGCCACCCCCGCGTCCAATGGCTTTCGGGGGGTGGGCAGCGAGGGGCGTCGCCCGGGGGCCGAGGAGCCGCGGCCGGGGTGGGGCGTGTGCGCCCGAGCGCGCGCCCGGGCGGGTGTGCGAGCGTGGGTCTGCGTGCGTGTGTATGTGTGCGTGCGGGAGTGTGGGCGCACACGCCTCCGGGGGCTCGAGTGACACTGCAGTGGGCTTCTCCCGCGCGCCGGCCCTTGGCTCAGCACCCCGCAGCCCGCCGGCACCCCGCTTCGGCCAAGGCAGCAGCTTGGCTCGCGGGGCTTGCCCGTCTTCCCTCTCCATCCACTCCTCGCCGCTCTTACTTTTTCTTCCACCCGAGGGGCTGCAGACGACCACCTCCTCCATCGGTGCAAACACCCCAAGCCGTTTTCAGGTTTCTCCCAAGCCCACCTTTCCCCCCCCCCCCACTTGTCTTTCTCGGGGGTGCCTCCACGAGCTGCTCCAAGGCTCCCTTTACTCCCCCCTCCACCCCATCCCGCGCTCCCCATCCCCATTCTTGGAAATTATTTTGTTGGACTGCTGTATACCAAGGCGTGTAAAGCTTGAGGACTTTACACATTTTGATTCTTTCCATTTCCTCCCTTTCTGGGCAACGGAGCAATGAAATTTCCAATCGAGACTCCAAGAAAACAGGTGAACTGGGATCCTAAAGGTGGGTATTTCCGACTTTTGGCCGCCCGCGCCCAGCCTCCGCCGCGGCGTGCGCGCGCTTCCCCCGAGTGCATGCACTCGGGCTCCCCGGCGGCGGCGGCGGCGGCGGGCGGCGTGTGTCCTGAGGCTGGAAAATGCGCCTGGGAACCGCAGCGCGGGTGGGAGGAGGGCGGAGGCAGCGTGGGTTCCACACCCAGATAGTGGCAGTCATTATCACATAATCATTGTCCCTCCTGGATTATTTCAAAATCTATTTAAAGATACACCAAGCCGGCTGTTGGGCTTGAAATTGTACCAAGTGTCGGTATTTGCTTTTGACTTTGTGTGTGTGTGTGTGTGTGTGTGTGTGTCTGTGTGTGTGTGTGTGTGCGCGCGCGCGCGAGTCTACGTGGGGTGTGTGTGTATGTGTGTGTGTATGTGTGTCCTTTGTTTCTGGTGATCTTTGTCTCTCTGGCATATGGGTGGGGTGCCTCCCCCTGGCCCTGGAGCTGCGCCACCTGCCCAGCGTGTCCTCAGTGGGAAAGGTTTCCTGGCAGCAAGTGGGGCTTAGATCGGGTTGTAACTGTCCCTGGGGGCGGCCCTTCTCGGAGGGATGTGGAATAATGGAACCCACGGGGCCTTCCGAGTCTTCGCTCAATCTTATTACCAAGCTAGGCAGCTAGTTGGGCTCAGCGCCGGTGTAGAAAGGGGAGGGAAGAATGGTTAGTAGCAAGGGTGGGGCTGGGGAGGGGGCTGCAGGGTGTGGTCCTTAGAGACCTTTCTGAGCTCCTGGGAATGTTGGACAATGTTCCTTGGCACAAAAGGAAGCGATTAAGAAAGACAGATGTGTGTGCCTGGCACCGGCCACTCGGTCTAATTAGCATACAGATGCTGAGCTTCCTGGGAGTGATCAGAATAAGTTGAAACCAAGTGTCCAGTTTTGGCAGGACCGCTGGCAAGCGTTTCTCTGGGCCCTCTTACAGACGAAGTTGGGATGGAAGAAGACTCAGTGTGTAGGAGGCTGGGAATTTGAGGCGCTTTATGTGTGCTTAGTGTTCTAGATGAGTGATCCTTTCTCCAGACTGTAGATGCTACCTTGCTGTGATTAACTATAGAAAGAGGCATTCGTCTGTGTTTATCTCTGTGACAAAAATACATAGAATGTGGATCATCTGGAAGTGAATTTGAAAGCCAAGGCAAGGTTCACAAAAGAACCCCCTGGGTCTCCCTATCAGAGCTCCTTCAACATCCTGGAAAGAGGAAAACACTTGTTTGTTGAGTAAATGCCTTATGAATAGATTGACTTTTGAGGAGAGTAAGAAGCAGCATTTCCTAATTTCAGTGCCTTACACACCAGAGAGCTGGAAATAAGAACCTGTACCTTTGCTCTTTAAAATCTCTGCAGAACATACTAGCAAATATCTACTCTTTGGGAAGTACTGCCCCAGGTCCTGGAGACAGAATAAGAAGAGCATAGACAAAAGTTCTGCCTTCCTGGGGTTTATAATGGGGGATAAAGACACAAATTAATTATTACACAGAGGAATGCATAAGCACACATTGATGTATGTGAAGGAAAGCATCAAGGGTTTTGATAGAAATTTT